TTCTTAATATAAAAGGTCAGACGAAATATTCTTTTAGAAATCGCTAAGATATGTGAAGACCAGGATAGGTCAGAAGAAAGAATTAATCCAAGATATTTAACTTCAGACTTGGTTTCTATATCAGTATCATCAGTTTTGCAAGGGTCATGGAAACCAACGGCTTCATTTAACTTTCGTTTACATCGGGAACTGAAATTAACTGTCTGACATTTGGAAGGATTTAGTATGAGACTATTAGATGTACACCATTTGTCGACTACTGATAAAAAGCTGTTCATCTTAGCACAGTCTAGCTGGGAGTTAACAGACGTTAAAATAGTGAGATCATCGGCATACTTAACAAAGTTCATTTCATCATCAGAGTGAGGCAAGTCATGCAAGAAGAAAGAAAACAGAAAAGGAGAAAGGACAGAGTCTTGAGGGACACCAGCGTCAGTAAGCAACGAAGTGGATGACATACAGTGTACTGCTTTCTTCCTGAGAAATAAGAATGCATCTGATGATGATTGGAGAATGATCTATCTTGTGATTGTTCTCTGCCTCTAAATATTTCTCAAATTTAACCGTATGCATAAAACTAATGGAATTTTCGCTTCACCTTAGGGCGAGTGCAGTAGATTGGATAATACGACAGACAACAGGCAGCGAGGAAACAGGAATAAAATGAACTAACAGAGAACAATTGGAGGATCTTGACTTCGCCGATGATATATGTCTGATTTCCCACAAACTGAAAGTTATACAAGTAAACAGCAACACGTTGGAAGAAGAAGTATCAAAGATAGGACTTCAGGTGAACATAGAGAAAACAGAGGTGATGAAGATTCCTGGCCAACACCAACAGCAACAACAACAGACAACAATCAGCCAGCATAAATGGGAGGAACCTGAAAGAAGCAACATCCTTCACTTACCTGGGAAGCGTCGTTTCAACTACAGGCCAACGGAACTGACGAGGATATCAAAGTAAGAATCGGAAAAGCAAAACAAGCTTTCATTACTCTCAAGTCTGCGTGGAGGTCAGCAGCACTCAGCATGACAATGAAAATAAAATCCGGATCCTCAACTCCAATGTGAAGCCAGTCAGTGCTACTATACGGATCAGAGACTTGCACTGCGCGTCATAAAGAGCACCTCAAACAAACTGCAGACCTTCATTAACACCTGTCTTCGCTCAATACTACTCAAGATCAGATGGTCGACCAGAAAAGATCAGCAACAGGGATCTCTGGCAATGAGCGAACTAACCAGGAACCGATTGTGAAACAAATAGGCAGGAAGACATGGAGATGGATAGGCCATACGCCTAGGAAACCATCAAGTGACATCACTAGACAAGCCCTTGCTCGAGTGAAACCTGAAAGGGAAGCAGCGAGTTGGTCTTTAGTGTGATGGTGACTTGAAGGAAGTTATGTGAAGAGGAGATGAAAGCATGTGGGCAGACTTGGAGCGGGGTGAATAAGTCGGCAGAAAACCGAAGGCAATGGAGACGCCCAGCTGAAGCCTTATATTTCTCTAGGAATTATAGGATATAATAAAAATAGTCTTCTCTGTATATTCGCTTGGTTTTCGCCTGTAGATCTTTGAGTTTGTGTGACATAAAAAGCTCTAATCTCCAGATAGAGGTTTAGCGATTTTTCAACGTATGATATACAGTATGTGCGTTTCAGAGCTAACAGTGACCATTTATTTACTGTCTTATGTTTATTACGCCTAAAATATATATATCCTTTCTACTATGAAGAATTGTTCTATTTAGTCAATCTAGAAAGTAGTGTGATGATAGATGATTATTGACTACGGTAAATCAGACTCAGGCGGTTCCTTGTATTGGTGTTAAGTGAAATTACAGACAGTGCAACCTGATATCAGTGTCTTTGGCAGGGAATGTTCCCTGGTGAACTTGACCGCGTGCATAAACGTTACTTTAGGCTTACAAAGAAAAATGAGAGGTTTTCTAATCTGTTCATAGGCTTTCCTCTGCTCAAACTTTATTATAAATAAACACCCCTTCTTAAATACTCATAAACATAATAATGAAAGGGTGGAATTAGTCAATTGTCATAGAATGTAATCTCATATTACATAAGCTTATTTGGTATACAATATAGTGAAAACTGGATGATATTTCTAGTTCATTTCAACGCCCATAATTATTCCAATGTACTCCTATAAAATCCTTAATTTCTTTCTGGAATCTTTGAATCCCTCCTATTTAGTAATGCAATTCTTCCTTGTACTTGCAACTGATGTTACGTCATCCACATGACGTGTATCCGATTTTTAACCATAAAATAAATAAGACTAGGAATGTAAATAATGGTCACCATATAAGTGATGGGTAGTCAAAAGACTTGATAGTAGTAGTAACATATAAAGAAAGAATATTTATAACCCTACGTAGACTGGAATGAGGGTGACGTTTAAACCAACCTTCCAGCTTACAGTTAAATGGTGTCCTTCTTAAGGTTCCAGCCAAGTGAATTAGATAGACAAACACACAAATAATTGAACATCACATCATGTCTGTGAAGTAAATAACATACATCGGAGTAACAGGTCGGTTTCAATTCGATTGTTAGAAAACAGATAATCAAGTCGATCTAGGATGAAGCACACAGTTAGGATAAAAAATGCTGAGAAAACTGCTATGCATTCATCTGTAATGCAAAGCGGAACAAATCGAATAGCAGTGACGAAACAGAACTCTGACATATATATATATATATATATATATATATTCATTCAGTGGGTTCGAGCCTCGGTGGGAAAATCATCACTCACTAGGGAATGCAGGTACATTCAGTTGACGGGTCCCAAATAGGGAGAAGTGCACATCCTGGATTCCATTACGGCGCATCTCTTTTTCTCACTTGCGGAACATTTTCGATCCTTGTACCTACGATTAAAGGACGAAATTCTCTGGACTCTACCTCAAACTGTATCTACAAGTTCACCTGCAGATGCGATGATACCTATATAGGTTGAACCAACAGAATGTTCCAGTGTGGTTGTCGAAAAGAACATGTTCCAAAATGGCTACTAAATCATATAGAAAATCGCAACGCAATTATTAATCTGAATAGAAATCCAGCATCATCCATTGCAAAACACTTATTAATTTCTGGTCACAAAATCAGTATAAATGACTGTTTCAAAATTATTTTATCACATAACTCTAATTCAGAGTTAGTTATTGAAGGTGATGGAGGCACATTTGGGGATTAATCCCATACAGCCTAAACTGTGTGTACAAAACACAACAACAGACTTCAATCTCCGCCTACCATGAACTAATTGACCTATCTAAATATGATTGGTCATTAGTATGTACTTTTGTTTTTTATTTAACTGAGTAATTGTCATGATCTTTATTTTATTATTGTTAACCATGTTAGTTGTAAAGCGGTTGTAAAGAAACTACGAAATGATATCATCTCGCGAAATTTGTCTTCTTAATGCCTTTCTCATATATATATGTATATATATGACAAGTTGCATTAGTAGGTAGAATACGGTGAGAAACTATACAAAGCAAGTTACGAAATATCCTGAATACACCGTCTGGGTTTTGCTCAAAATGTCATCATTGTCTGTTTGCATATTAGCAAATAAACTTGCATAATATGAAATTAATTGTTTAGGCAGATTTAGCAAGACATTTCTTCAAAATAGTTAGGTGGAAACAACTCTTACAATTTAATTGAATTTTAGATTTTCCCATCGATTGATTGGACCGAAGTGCTGGTCTCAGTTTGTCATCTCGGCTTCCACGATGTCTGGACGTTTAGTTAGAATTTAACTGGGGGATGCTGCCTATTAGCGGAATGTAGGATGAGCGCTTCGTCCTATATGGGACTTGCCCACCAGGTGGATGTGCCTGCATTTACCAGTGAGTGATGACGTTTCCACCGAGGGTCGAACCCAATGCAGATCAATCGACAGGAAAATCTAAAATTCCATCAAATTAATATGACCCGTTGCACAAGAGGTGGTACTCGTGGCCCGAGTGGTCTAGTGGATAACGCTTTGGCTTTTGAAAATATGGGCACTGGGTTCAAGCCTTGGGTACATCCAGTTAGCTGACGAGTCCCAAAAAGGACGAAATGCGCTTTATCCTGGATTCCACTCCTAGTCACCATCCACCAATTAAACTGTTACAATAGTCATAAAAGAATTTAATGCTGTAGACTGTTAGGCCTAGACAAGACAGGTTTTGACGATGAACTGAAGTCAATTACAGAACCATTGGAAAACCAGAAATTAATGGACAACTGTTTCATCAGCCTAGTTTGGTACTCTTCATCTGCACACCCCTTCAGGGTTGGAACCCAATAATCGTTCGGTCACTAAGCGAGCTAGTAGAACATTCAGCGGCTGTGACCCTATCGAATGACCCACAAAATCTAAACTCCACTAGTTCTCCTTATAGATATATAACGCAACTGTAAGCCCACCTGACTTGTTGAACGCCTGCTGGTCACAGTTCTACAAAATAGGCCTTGAATTTCTGTAATCCGCCAAAGAATGACAAGAATCATCGATTCATTAATCCCACATCTGAATAACTATTCAAATCACAGAAAACCTCTGTTATATATTTTTTCACATTTATTCATTATACACATATAACACTACAGTAATGAAAAATGGATTCATACAATTGACGAGGTAAGTGAAAAAGGAAAAGAAACAACGATTACCTGACTGGCTTCTCTCTCTCACTCTCTCACTTTCTCTATCTCTCTTAGGGGTCATACTGTTTTTATAGTATTATTATTATTATTAATTGTCGTATTGACCGTGATATGGCCATGATATCACAATTAGAATAGACCATATAAATGCCAGATGACACATTCATCTAAGTATATGCACATATATTAATAATTCAGGAATAATATACATGTTTGATACATTTGATGACATTTAGAATGATGTGTATCGTATCACACATTCTCCGCACGCGCATACTCATGTGAATAGTCCAGTTGGCATGTTCAATTCTTATTGAATGTAAAACACGAACTCATACTGGTCAGTAAACGTTTTAATGCAGCACGAAATTTTAAATTAAAAAAGAAATAAATTAATGGATTTGCCGCTGAATTTATAAAGTATAAAAAGTGAAATAAACGTCTAAGATGATATTTAATCTCAGCATTGGATGTTATGCTACTATTATTATTATTATTGTTATTATTAATATACTCATTAGATTGTATCGAATGATAACTGTCTGTCGGGTTAACCAACTGAAAAGCATCATAGTTAATCAGAGTTGGACTTTCATCAGTAAGAATTTGCGACGTACCATTATGACTTGTCGTATTTTTTATTTGATGATGGTGATTATAATAACTTGATGCCTGATCGGTTGTAGTATCTGTTGACAGCTCCCATTTGACTGGCCATATAAATCCATTAGCAATTAACAGACTTGGTAAATACGAGATTAGAAAGCTTACTGTTATCAAGATGAAGGTGATTGCACTACGCATATGTCGATTATGATGCAATAATCTTGGTCGTGTGGGTCTTTTCATCATTGGTTTGAATAGTAAAAATCTTTTTGATTTTTTGTTTTGCTCAGGTACAGTTTTTTTATCTTCAGGTCTATTGATTGATATATGCGGTTGTAGATTTCCACTGGGGGTATTCTGTTTAATGTTTTTATAGCTATCTATTTCTACATGTGTATAGATTAATGGATCACTATGCCGAATGCGTTTATTGCATGGATCTTGTTGACTGGTTGGTGTTGTTGTGCTCACCTCTGCTATTTGTACACTTGGAAATCTTTCCCTGGTATACTTCTCATCTATTGCTGTCTTTGATAAATTTTTCTTTCTATGAGTAGGATTAAAGTTATTTGGGGAATTGTTTGAATTTTCATGGATAATCTCATGAGCGATAGGTTTAACTAAAATAGTTCTTGGTGCAAATTTTGTTCTCCAACGATATTGATGTACTAGGATAAAGAAGAACAAGTAACCATAGAATAAACATATACATGTGAATATAAATGCGAATAAAATCAAGATAGACATTTGATAGATTTCATAACCACTGCTCGAAATAAAACGTTCATCTGATTTACAATAACCATAATTTGTAAATGATGTAATCAAATCAATAAATTTTGATGAAATATATGCAAATGATGATGAAGAGGGTTTCATTGAAGATACCGAAGATGTTGGTAATGATGATGATGCTGACAATGGTGATGATAATTCTTGGAACATAATATACGCTTCAATATCATTCGGTACTAATTTATCCACTGTACTTATTTTAAAATACGTATGTACACCTTGATGTAATCCCATTGGAATTGCCCATAATAAACCTAATATATACGTGATAATAATCAACTTTATAATACACCTTTTAGTCATAATAATACATGGAATGAAACAGATTAGCAACCAGCGATCTAAAGCAATAATGACTAGAAATAGTGCAGAAACAGTCAGTGTGAATGCTTTCAGTGTTACATGTGCACGACACATAAAATCATATGTTCTTGTCTCCCAGACAATAAGAAATATTGTTGTTGGTATGTCGACAGCACAAATAATTAAATCATTAATCGCTAAGAGGACAATTAATAGATCAGAGTTAAGATTTGTTTGTGTGGTAGGACGCTTAACTGATGAAGATCGGTGTATATTTTGTCGACTACCACCTAAATATTCTGTACTACCATCTGTTGTTTGTTGAATTGTCTGGGGTAAACCATTCGTCGTCGCCAAAGTAGTAGTAGTGGTAGTAAAATTATGATTTGTGCCGGGCTCATGTTGTCTGTGTAATTTCTCTTCAGTGGAATTAGATAAATGACCAAGGGGTACAAGACTTGGTGATCTATACTGATTTACATCGAGGCAGTTAGTTATCTGGCTTTGATTAACATCCTCACGACACTGATATACATGTAATTGGGTTTGTTGATATTCAAGAGGCTTGTTTCGTCGACAACAGATACATAGAACACGTAGACAATGTTCTAATAGGTGAAAAAATCTACGAAATATATGTCGACCGATTGTATGCACCACCAACCAATTGCCAATTAGACCAAAAATGCTTATAAAGACAAGAAAACAAGTGATTATGATTAGCGTTGGAATATAATTTCTCAGGACAAGTTTTTGTGCATTCTCTTCAGCTTCAGCGATAAGACTGTTTAAATCCGATTGTGTTGTTGATATCGTCGCCGTTGCTGTCGGCGTCGTCGTCGTTGTCATCTTCATCATCATCACATTGATTCATAGGGAATTTGTTTTAATTGTAACATGGATCATAAAAAAGCCTGGCGTTTGTACTTTTGCACAAAAGGAAATACGACATTCATGAAACAGTTTAGTCATTTGCTGAGTTTTTATAAATAAATGTATTATCAACCAATCAGAATTCGCTGACTATTAATAGACCAATCAGTGATGAGAATGTAATAAAGAGACATTCTATATTCCAGAGAATGGAATTTTTAGTATTTTTATACATATTACAACAATCTGGAGCCTTTTATAAATATGTACATACAAAGAAATTAAAATAGTAATAATAATAATAATGTTAATAATGGAACTACTATAAACAGAATTTTGGTGGAAACATATTGAAGTATAGGTAGATGGCGTTATAGATAATACATGCAATGATAATAATCTTTACTTATATTTTGCAGTTCAGTTACTGATTTAAAACGCTTATAAGCTCTTATATGACATCTGATTGTCTCTTCACACAGAACCAATGCTAAATATGGAATGGTCGAATTTCTAATATTTAGTAGTTGTACGAGCGTTAATTCTTATGGAGTTTCTTCTGGTTTTACTCGAAGAAATACAAGGCAAAAGTTGAGAATAAAGAGGATGTTCGGTTTCAGACAAGATAATTTTATCATGAGATGACATCATTTAGAGGACCATTGGAAAACCGACGGGGAGTACTGGACAGCCAGTTGTTTTGTTAGCCTAGTTTGGAAACCTGCATAAGTACGCACCCACCAACAGGATTCGAACCCACGACCTTCTGGTTACAAGGCGAGCTCGTAAATCATTAAGCCACTGGGACCAGCTGATCCGATGGCCAGCCAGTCCATGAATTCCATCTTCTACCAATTCACGATATATCAAGACCACTATCCAGTTTCATTGGGGAAGAGTATTTGGCCTCACTTCAGACCCGATGTACCCTACTGGTCATGACTTCCCACTACAACATCAGGTAACCAGCTATCTACCTGAATAGGGCGATTCTCTAGTGAGAAACTCATTGATATTCAAGTGTTGGTATTATAGGGATTTGACTGATTGGTTACAGGATTTCCCTAACCAATATCAGCTCATGATGAAATCCTGTAACTAATCAGTCAAATCCCTACAAACCAGTACTTTAAGATAATTCTAGCCAACTGCTTGCAATAATTAAAATGCCTTTCAGTGACAATGTCAGTCAGTTGGATCATAGGCAAACCAGAATCTCTACTTTTAGCCCTCAGTGTTCTACTCAGTGTGACATAGTTTTTATTGAGAAGTCCAAGGAAGAATAAGGGTGAACAATAATTAATAAATCGTCAGAAAACAGGTTGATGTATCTTAGAATATTTCACCTTCTTTGTGTAATAAGTCAAACGAAAATGTTTCTTAGAAATCAGCACGATATGAGAAGACCAGCACATATTTATGCGACTGAATCAGTCCATACAAGGCCTGTTCTCACCCGAAGCTGAAGTCAACTATATGACATGTGCCGAAAAGCCTACGTCTCAAGGGAACAAATTCTTATAGTAGCGCTATTACCAGACATCTCCTCGACACTGGTCATCAGGTGGAAATCGAGAAATCCTTCAAAATTATCAATAGACAAAGGAGCGCGATTCTCCTTAAGTTCGCCGAAGCAGGTCTATCAAACGCTTGAAACCAGATTTATGTGTTCAGAAAGAAGCAGTTATTAGTCTTTCCTTGTCACGCCTGGTAACTGGATGTCTCTCATCTGATTACGTAATCTTTGTTTTTAACCTCACCCCCCTTTATAATCTTTAATTTTGCTTGTCTCTTATTTCTATGATTTGAGTTGAACTCAGTACATTGTTAACTAATTTATTAGTCACTCTGCATCTCACGCATATTTTGTCTTTATTACGTAACTCCTTTAGTATTGTATGCATACATTTATTTTTTTGTTTAAACTTGAACTGTTTGTGTAAGAACTATATAAGAGAGACTTTCTGAGCACTTTTCACTCATTGTAAAACTTTCTGTCAACCGACAACATGTAAAATTTGCGAGTATTTTAAAACGTTTCTGTGCATAAACCTCATAATTTATTTAGGCTGTAAGCAGATGATGAGAAGCCAACGAAATAAATGCTGTTACCATATTATTTTTGCACAAACCACTTCTGTTCTTGCTTTATTCAAATTCATCAATAGGAATAAATGCATGAACTGTATGACATTTGGATTTTGCTATTGTTCTCTGGCCCTAAATGCGTCTCACTTTTAGCCACATACACACACTTAGTTTAACACCATTTAGATGAGACTACTTGTTAACTTCAGATAAGAATCTGTTCATGCAAGAACAATCCAATGCAGAAACCACTGGAAGAGAAATGGTCAGAACATCAGTATATTTAATGAAGTTAGTTATGGCAGAATACGGAAATTCATGCAGAATGAAAACGAAAAGAAGTGGATAGAGAATAGTGCCTTGAGGTACACCAGTTTCTGTTAGCAACGAAGCGGACAGCTTTCCATTACAAACAGTATGTCGTCTTCTACCTGAAAAATGAGAAGACAGCCACCTTGTAACCCAACACTTAGCATTTCCTGAAATCAGTTTGCTTAGTAAAGGTGCCATAGGAATATAGTCAGAAGCCGCAGTGTGGCCTAAAAAGCAGGCTCGAACAAACTTTGCACCTGATGGTATTAGATAGTTGGAGGAAATCGGTAGGAAGCCTTAGACGAAGGTTTCGTGCCAGTTGGCCCTCATCAGCAAGGCGTATCTGCAACCTTGAAGGAAGTCGTGTACCTTTTGAGATTCGAACCCACGTCACCCGCGTGATGGTAAGCTACCTAGAATGGTGGCCACACTGCAAAACGTGACTGATAGAATTCAGTCTGCACCAAAGAAAGGACTAGACATGTCACACTAGTTACTAGTGTCCGATCAAAACTCTGCACTTTTATCAAGACTTGAAACAATATTGTGGTGGAGTACGACGACAGCCACGGACTTTGTAAGCAAACTGCTTTGGGTCATTAAAATATTTCAAAGAAGGTTTAAGAACATACAAGAGATGTATGTCCATCGTTTAAAAAAATGGAGACGTGATGCAAATTGACCTAAACATGAAACCTGGTGCAGAAAAATGATTTTAGGGCAAGCACCACCTTTATTTCTATCCAGGCAACAGGTACTATTTCTCTGCAAAATGATGCATTAAAGATATGTGTAAGAGAATGAGACAAAATACCAGCACACGTTTGAAGCTAAACGCCTGGTACGGCATGGGGAACTAGACTGTGTGATGAATTTAAGGATTTGAGACATGACACAACATCCTTTTTATGAAAAACCAGAAAAATGAACATTTATATGACTAGAAACATCCGGTTCAACCATTTCCCTGCAGACTGCTTCTTGGTGAGTTTGGAGAATAGTATTTTACGGCCTACTATCGATAATTTCCATTTGTACTAAAGATGCATGGATGATGCTTTCATCATATGTGACGACAATACTGACATCGAATCGATAACTAAAGAGTTCAACACTTACCATCATGCCATTCAATTCACGTCGGAGTCAGAGATTAACTCGGAATTCCATTTTTTGGATGTTTCTCTAAAGAGGAGAGCTGATGGTTCTCTTCAAAGATCGATCTACAGGGAACCAACATGGAATGGTCAACACACAAATTTCCATAGCTCGGTCCCTTTGAGAAGAAAGAGAAATCTGATCCACTGCTTATCCCCAAGAATAAGGAGGATATGTTCCAGTGATATAATCGATGGGGTACTGGAGCGACTCAGACAAGTCCTCATAGAGAATGGATATCCTCCAAACTTTATCGAGAAAAACATGAAGTTAAGGGAAAAGCCTGAAGGATTTATGACGAGGCCAAAGAAACTGCTATTTATGGGTGTTGAATTTAAAGGTGATACCGCAGCTGAGATCCTGAAGAACCGCTTATGCAGATAACTGAGGAAAGCCTTCTTTATGGCTGAGCTACCTATTAATTTCTACAGCCGACAAATGATTAATGGATGTGTGAAGGATAAACTGCTGCTTTAGACTGGCCACCTCAAAGTGTGTTTATAAATTCACCTGCTCGTATGGAGCTAGCTATATTGGCCGGACACACAGAGCGCACACTTTTCAAACGCATCTCTGAACATTACCCGGTATTCTTAGCAAAACGACAATGCCATACCATTACTAGCTTAACTTTCGAGCATTTGGTGAACTCAAGTCACGTAGTTCCACCATAGTCGTCTTTCAAGATCATCTACAAAGTGAAGCCAAATGGTACAAAGGGTGTCAGGTTTCGACTTTTGTGTATGGTGGAGGCGCTGGCAATTCGTCAATACAACGCTGAACTCTGTATACAGAGAAAGTTTGTCTAGTCTCCCTTCTGTTCTACCTTGGTCTTAACCTCTTCACTAATCGTTACCTGTAAAAATATTTTTGATTTCTTCTTCTCTTTTTCTCTTTTCAATTTTAGTTGGCTTCTGCTTTAATAATAAATTTGCCGTTATTACTCTCATATGCTCCTTTTGTACATTTCACACCCTCTTCACACTTTCTAAATCGACACTCAAATTCCTCTGTTCTCAGTCAATAGTAATTTTAACCCTATCAAATTTTTATCTTTGTGTCGTAATTTACAACTTTTAATTTTCACTTCTAGAGCCACTTCTGAGTAATTATATCAATTATGTCACCCCCACCCCCCCTATTACTCAATAATAGACCACTACATATATTTTAGGTAAGCATAAACACGACTGTAAAGCCTGTGAAGACGATTTCGTCGATAAAAAAAATTTTCTTCGCTTAATTTATCCCTTATTTTCTTCATGACTCGACCATATTAGCTTGTTGTGGTACAAAAAATCTGTTTAAAGAATAAGCATCAGGTGAAATTTATTTTTTTGCTTGTAGGTTGGTTAAAAAGTTCCCGAATTTTGGAAGTATTCTTACATGCTAAAACATTTTCATTACCTATAGCCCAT